TGACTTGCTTAACATGAGTCCGAATCGTGTTCCATCATTTCAACAATTCTTGCCTCGAACTATCGAGAGAATACTGCCCCGACTAAGACTAGGAAGGACAGAAACCCTAGTTAGTGTGTCTAGAGCTCTTCTTATGGCCTAGTTTCCACAGTCAGTGCTCTTGTTATTTCAGTACAACACGCCATTTTTATACTTAACAATAACTACAATGAATATTTATTAAAATAATGACATCATTATGACAAACTGAATCTTGATTGGTCACGTCGGATTCCTGACGGCTTGCACAATAGATACTACATGTAGTATCTATGCTTGCACAAAGTCTTGTTAAGCATTGTACCAGACCCTTCTCCCGCAGGGGTTGGGTCTGGGTGGCCAGACTAAGAGTTGACTGGGACGGGAAGAGAAGACATCTTGTTTTTCTTCTGGTGTCTTATAGACTCATCACAGTAACAAGCTTCTTTTCTAACTGATGATGGTTCCTCTCCCTTGCTTCTTTCTTCTGTTCTTTAAGTTCTTCTTTGCTTGTGTGCAGGGGCGTAGCTGGACCTTGGGTGACGGTTGGGCAAGGAGACAAAATGGCGCAAAGCGCGCCGCAATTTTGGCCACACCCCTTTTACGTAACAAAATGGAGGCATTTTCCTGCAAGCTGAGCGAAATCAGAGTGAAATTATCATTGTATATAGCTTTAAAAAGAGCTGTGGTTATCAGCCACCCCCTTTTGTTATTGTAAGAACAATGAATATAATCTTTTGGGTTATAATTTCAATGAATATAATTATAAGGGCACTTTGATGGTAGGGCCAGGCCCCCTCAGGCCTCAGGCCCTACCTCAGCTACGCCCCTGCTTGTGTGGACTGTAAACCGAGCTGTAAACACTTTCCACTCCACTATCCGATGCAGTATCCGATAATTCCGATTCACTACTACTCCGCCCACCAAGAGAAATACGGAGGAGACACGGTGTGTGTGCTTTATCCACATGCAACCACGTGTCTATAAAAACACTGAGTGGGCGTTAAAGCTGCGCATGCGCAAATAATGTACCCGGTACCGAATACCCAGGCCAGGGCCATAGATATTAGAGTACAGGAAATATCTGTACTCTAATATCTATGCCAGGGCCTAGGCCTAGGGCCGCCAGGCAACTCCGCCTTACAAAAAACTGATGGCCTCTTCCAGACTCGTTCTCTATTCATTGACAGGATTGAGTGGAATCTTAAGTGAGTTCAGAATTGAAACCATTAGGCCACTCCAATAAGATTCATAGTTTCCCATTACAGAGGCGGGCCTGATGCGGGCGGGCGGGTTTGTTCATTTTCATTAAATTTATTCATTATCAGCTGTATAAATTGCTTGTATAATCAATGCAAAACCGCAATAATGAATAGCGATGCGGCCCCATGCGGGCGGGTAATGGGAAACAAGGAATCAAATTGGAGTGGCCTTAGATCTAATTTATTATGACCCACAGATTGAATCTACTATTAAGACTAAGTACTAACTTAGTCTGGTGACCTAATCAACTTCTAAAAAGAATCAATCTTGGTATGTACAATGTACATATGATTAATTTATTCATAATTAATATTTTCGATGATAAGTCTTGTATAGAGGGTTGATGCCAAAGAATTCTTTAATCATGCAGACCTCATCATCTGAAGGAAACATTACCACTTCAAGTACTACTGCTTTGGTAAATGAAGCTTTTATAGACCAGTTTGTCAGTGCTAAGTACAATTTATAGAATTTTAAGTACCTTATAGTGGGATATTTTGGAGAGAGTTAAATTTGGCAAGTTGCTAAATTTTGGTGATTGGTGAATTTGTGACCACATGCCATTGAGCCTGTGCATAATGGCTCAAAATGGTGGATTTTTAATTTAACGAATGGCTATCAAAATGCCAAATTCAACTCTCCCTCCAAAATTTCCTGTTTTATGGTACTGTTGTATATTCATTGTGATGCCATAAATAAAGTAAAAATTTTCTACTGCAATTTTGGAGTCCTAGTTTCGAATACTTGCCTTTGGAGCAATTGTGAAAAGAGATTTTTCTCCAAAAAAATTTTGTATTTATTGGTGACAGCAATCTTGCTACTGCTTACTGACCATCATCCAGTGTCTATAGTTGACTAATGGACTTTAATAAGTGCCGTTAGGAAGTATAAAAATTAAAAAAATATTGCTTTCTTTCATTGAACTTGGACTCCATAATAGCGGCAGAAAAATTTTACTTTATTTTCGGTATTACGAGGAATATACAGTACATAGCACAAAAGTTACAGTGAATTATGTAAATGTATACACAAGTATAGTCCTGTTCATATTACATTGTATATATTGTACATGTATACACGGCCAAATATATTCAGGCCTGATTCAAAATGTTGCCCAAAATTAATGACTCAAGCCTGATATCAGTACTGGTACAGCCCTGTTGGCTATCATTGCTGAATCATGAAAGTTGGTCTGGCCTGATCCAGTGTTGATGCTTGTCATGCCTGTACCATGGCTGACTGCATGATTGTATCAGGAGATTGCCCAAAATCTATGGTCCATGCCTGATATCAGGCCTGGTTTCAGGCTAAATCAGGCCTGATCAACGTAATTATATTTGGCTATGTAGACAATAGCCTACATGTACACTTGTATTTGTAGGATTGAGCCTTGAGGTTTGTTTTAAAGATAGCAGCAACTTTTATATTGTTGAATACTAATATACCGTTACTACAGTAGATCAGTATTGTTATATTATAGCCTTATAAATAGTGTTTGGTCTTAATCACTCATCATTAATCATTTGATGTCGCTAATCATTATTATCACTTATTGTTATCCTACTTTCATCTGGAAACTTCTAAAACTCATTATTTTACCCCAGTTGGGAAATTTGATTGGATTGGAACATTCTAGATTTCTTTTACTATAAAAATGATTTGATCTATGTGTTTGACTGTTTTTTATTCGTTCATTCTTTTGTTCATTTGTTTACTTTTGCTTATTATCATTTTTTGCTTGTTATCAATATCGATCCGCCCATACTAAGCTCATACAAATAGTTTAGTTGAGCAATCCTTATTTCTTGTTTTATATACATGTACATACCTTTAAAGTGGACTGAAATGTAGAAAAAACACTTCTACAGAATAGGCTTAAAATTTAAATTTTTACGAATTATTCAAATATTTATCAGTTTACCTTATATAGGTTGTAGGTAATTATTATTTCACAAAATTTGCATTTGTCATTAATTTGAAAATTGAAATTCGCAAAAGGTGTGGCCAACTTGATTTAAATTCCTGCATGAGGTATTACTTGAAAAAAATATATTGCACAAATTTCAAATCTGGACAAATTAATCTATGAAATTTTATTCCCACGAAATTTATGTATATATACAGTAACAATTTATGATCTTAATATGTACACGCCTTTTTAGTTTACCTTGTAAATGGTAGCAGGTTTTACTTATCAATAGCATTCTCAAGTTTTGCTAATTGTGTGACCTATGATAATTCATTACTTGTCGATCTACTGTATATAGCCTTATTTGATCAAACTTTTTTTATTATAGAATAATAGATCATTTCAAAAAGAAGATAGTGTTCAGTTATTATCACAAGGAGCTGAAGAAATTGTACATACTGTTTGTTTTACATGCATGTTAGCTAATGATTCATTGTAGAATAAGGAGTTATATGAAGCTGCTGAAAGAGGTGATTCTACTGGTGTCCAGTCTGCACTGTCTCAAGGAGCTAATGTAAACTATCAGAATCCGGTAACTACTGCAGTATATGCATACATGTACATGTACAGCATACAGTGGCGGATCTAGGGGGGGCCAGGGGGGGCAATGCCCCCCCAAAAATTTTCTGGAGTAATATAAACTTTGGTTTACCTGTGTAAACTGTGAAGCAGCTGCAGCACTGGACTATGTAAACTCTCTTTAAACCACAAAGGGTCTGATTTTAGCAGGCTTAGTCTTCATAATTTTTACTTTCCCAAAAGTTTTGCACAAGCTTAGTTGACCACACCCCCTAATTACCCCTCCCATCTCACAATTGCCCCCCCCAAAAATTAAATCCTAGATCCGCCCCTGACAGCATGCTGTTATGTTGATAGCCTGCTGCCCTTGGACATGGGTCAGGTATAAATCATGTACATGTACGTATGTTCTGTGGTGTCATTTCACAATTCACTTGGTACAATGTACATGCACATGTCATGTACATGTAGTACATAGTACACATGTATAGACATAATAAAACTGATCACTGTAGAAATATTAGTGAAGAGTTAATATTGGCAGATTGTTCTCCGAGAATTAAACTGCCATTATAAAATCCATCATTTGCAAATTTTTATTCTGCCAGTATTTTTAGCTGTATTGCATGTACATGTAGTACAGTACTTTATGTTTTTGTAATAGACTGACATGTACAAATTTTGTCTTATGTTACTGGTAGGATGAAGCTACTTCTCTTCTTGTTGCTGCAAGAGAAGGATATCATGATATTGTACAAATTTTATTGTCTGAAGGAGCTGATATGAACCTCAGAGATATAGTGAGTAATAATATACTTGATTGTGCTTACTTTAACATTACTGTTAAATTCACAATTGCTTAAATTGTCATAGAATAGATTGGTAATTTTCCACATAAGGATAATTTTGCTTTTTTCTTTTTAATATTAAATTTCATAATAAGTTGCAAAAATGGTGAAGAACAGATTTTTCAATTTACCCTGTGATTTCAATCTATATACATGTACATTTTATGTTCATGTATCAAGTTTGTAATATGATGTGCATCATGTATTCATGCATGTACATGTAGTTGTTGGACTCACCACGCTTGCAAAGGCGGGTACTTAGCAGTTGGGCTGTCATTCTGTCATTCTGTCCACACATTTTAATTGATTTAAAAATATATCTTTTTGTCTGAGCACTCTAGAGCTATAATTCTTCTTCTAGCAACACATAAAGTTGCTTTCTTTCATCTAGTTATGCTTTCGTAGCATCCCGTGGCACCAAAGCCTGGACCTGTTAAACCATGAGGGGACCACTCTCCAAGTGAGAGCTCATGTTTCACTCTACAGGGCTGAGATTTGCTTCAGAGGTAGAAAATCCCATCTGACAAAAAAATAAAAGAACGATTTTGTCCTAACTTCTTTTTTTGCGAGTTACAGTTCCTCAAAATTTGTGATTAGCATCTTTGAGAAATTTTCAGGCAACACTGGGGAAAACAGGAGCTACCAAACTCTCTCAGTCTTTTTTAAATATCTATAGGCAACAGTTTTGTGCCAAGTCTTTTTTTGAATAGAGCTTCAGATGCTAAAATAAATAAATTTCAGCTTTTCTTCTTTCTCCTAGCCATGTGCCATGATTAGCTAGTTGTTGACCACACCCATAGCTTATTTTAATTGTCATAGCTATGCAGTCAATATTAACTAGAAAGAATGTAAAACATTGAGTGGCTCCGCCTCCAGACCGCACCTCCCAGTCACGCCCAGATGTACGTTCAAGTTCTTGTAAGTAAGGGCTTCGCCCAATCATTTTAAAAATTGCTTAAAATATCACAGTGTCAAGTAACACATATGATTCAGGTGAATTCCAGTGGGCGAGTCCATTGCACCATAGTGCTTTATTTGTATTTGACTGAGGAATCTCTGTAAGGGCAATTCCAGTGTATATTAACTTATAATGCATGTAATACTGTGTCTTCCTTGATATTCCAGCCCTTATCTTTAGAAATATTCTCATGCACAGTTTAAGGCTCCTATACTTCTTGACACACTGAAACAGTGTTCCAGTGTCAAAAGGGAAGGGCCTCACTTCACAAGACTATACCTTTAAATGTTATGTGTAAATTGCAATGTGTAATGCTATACTCATTCAAATTATGTTATTATTTTTTTAATGTTTTGGGGCATTGGCAACATTAGAAACCAATCTATCCTTATGTCATTATAGGAAGGAGATACTGCTCTTATTGAAGCAGCAAGAGGAGGAAACTGTGACATTGTAGAATTACTGCTGAAGAAAGGAGCTGATCCTTTACATTCAAACGATGCAAGTTATTTTTATTATTTATTTTATCATCATTGAAATGTTATTGTTATACATACATGTACATGTGTCTTATAATTAGAAATTCATGCAATAGCCATTGCCTTAGTTAGGAGTACTAATTAGAAAGAAATATTCCTAATTTTTTGGGACTTATAGAGGCTATCTCTATACAAGTACTTATAATGTTTGCTATCTTGCTGTTATTGTCAGTTCGAATTGAGTTGGCATGGGGAGTAATTTCAATGTTTGCATCAGAAAATGGCATCCCTAGTCACACCCAAAATGGTGGCCGAGTGCAAGCAAACTATTTTATTGAGCGTTTCTTCACCTCTAAGACCTTTTATTGTCTGTATCCTTGCTTTGGATACTGATACCTTTAGTTATCACTGAATGGACCTTTTCTTTGTCATATACTGTACATGTAGATCAGGAAATTTTCATGTTAGAAATAATTGACGTGAAATTTTTTCAAGGTGTTTTATTTTCGCTGGTTGACCCATCCGCGAAATTTTTTCAACATGAAAATTTTTGGAAGCGTCATAAACCGCACAAGTGGCTACTAACTCTTGATGACAATGGACAGCTATTCAATGGAAGTTGCTGGTGACAGTACTAAAACTGACAAGGAACTCCTTGGGTGAGAGCTTCAGGCCTTCTTTTGGCTTTTAGAAGACTAAAAGAGCCTCATGCATGCACCGCTGTACATTAGAATAATTCCGGTAATCTTATTATTCACTGTAGAAAATATTTCGTGTGTCAAATTTTTGCGGGTCACTTCATCCGCGAAAATATTTTAAAAACGAAAATTTCCCGATCTACGGTACTCATAAGGACCCTAGATACAGAAGCTAGCAACATAGATTAAGGATGATGAAGAATAACGGCGATCAAGAAGGCTATAGACAGACATACACACCTGTAGCAATTGTTTTCTAGTAGTATAGACTAGACTGCTAGTTGACTATCTGCTGCTCTAGAGGAACTTATTATTTTTATAAAGTAAAAAACATTAATTTTGTTAGAATAATAATGAGATGTTCATGGGTGTGATGTAGTGTGGGCATAATGATTCATCATGTTGGCTTCCTTTGAACTAGAGCAGAAGAACCCATTCAGAATTTTCCAGAGTATCCCATATAGAAATTCCAAGGTTGTTACAACCAGGTCACAACCTCACAAAGTTGTAGCAACCTGGTAACAACCTTGTACAAAAGTGATAAAGTTGTGAGCAACCTAGTGACAACCTTGTATAAACAGTGCTGAAGTTGTGACTAACATGTTACAAACATAACAACCTTGTGACAAGGTAGTCCGAAGGTTGACAGGAAACTGAGGTTTCATTAAGTGCACCCCACGATGATAAGTGAAGCTATTGCTACCATATATAAAGGGACCATTGACCAGCACTTATACAAGTCAATAAAGATAACATTAATACAAATCCACATCTTTATTTATATATTAGCTACATGTATCATAGATACATTACAAATATCTAGAAATCATTTGAAACTACATGGGATTAAGAGGTTCAATAATTATTATATGCATGTTGATAGTCTTTCAGATTATATTTATTCTATTAAATTCATTGTACATTGTGACAAGGTTGTCACAAGCCAAAAAACATGCCAAATCCAAGGTTTTTACAAGGTTGTGACCAGGTGGTGACAACCTATTGACAACTAACTTGTTACAAGGTTGCCACAATCATGCTACAACCTTGGTTTTTCCATATGGGGTACCTAGACACTCAAAAATTGGTCAGTATAGATTTTCAGAAGAACCTGTTATGCAACTATACTAAGTTTCGGGTTGCTAGCATTAGTAATAAAAAGTTATAAGGGGTGGTGCCTGTGCCAACTCAAACTGAACTGGGTATAAAAAGCTCCCATGTTTAAGCTGCCATTTTGTTTGCTTTGGTTACACCCACTTTATGTAAAAGACTTGGGTTGATTGGTAAGGAATCTTAATTGTTATTTCTCTGATATGTGTATGTATAATATGCATTTAACAGGTCCCAGGTTGTAAAAATGCAATTACCAAACCTTGTATTTAGTTTCAATAATAACGTCAGTAGGGACGTCATTATTAATGTCTTTAATAACTGTCTCAAGGAGCTAATGTAAACTATCAGAATCCTGAAACAAAAAAAGAAATAAAATGAATATGAAATAAACTATCATACTTTAGCACAATAATATTGATTACTGTTGATCATAATTATTTGTATGAATATTAGCAGATTGTTTGTCTTGTGAGAAACTGTCATTTTAATTTTAAAATGTAATCCTTCCAATATTTTAGCTGTACGGTATGTGTAGTTGTGTGCTGTACATGTTCATGTACCATGCAGTTAGTCAAAAATTTTGTCAATTTTGTTTGAGTGAATTGATTCACTTGATTCTAAATTTTATAGTTTTTCGGAGTGACATTTTTAATGATGAATATTAATTTAAGCAAAAAAATTTTTTGACAAAATTTTTAGATCGATAAAAATTTAGTGATATAATGGTACCTTGTACACTACAGCAATTTTCAAGTTGTTTGTCATAAAGTTGTGTTTCATATAGGGTGGAGCTACTTCTCTTCATGATGCTGCAAGGGAAGGATATCATGATGTTGTACAAATTTTATTGTCTGCAAGAGCTGATGTGAACCTCAGAGATATAGTGAGTATACTGGATTAATGAAAATGTTATCAGTTCAGAAGTATTATTCTAATCATCAAGTGTATGTTGCATAATATGACTTTGGTACATGTAACTTCTGGACTTTCACGTACAATGTACATGTAATTCATACATTTATAGCTTTAAATAGTTTTCTCGTTACAAATTTAGTGTACAAAACTATTAAGACAGAAGACAGTGAAATGTACTATTTTTAGATAGATACAGTATAGTAATAATAAACATATCTACGTGTACATGTTTTGTGTAACAATAATAATAGCACTAAAACCAATATAGTAACTGTAATATTTTAATGACAAACCACTATCTACATGTATAATTGTATATTTACTATTATAGAGGTGTGCATGTAAGTGTTTGAGACACAGCAAAAGAATTTGAGATATACATGTACATTCGTGAGAAATAGTACAAGGTAGAAGCTTGACCATCACCCTCTGAAATTATGTACATGTATACCGTATAAGTGGTTATTTTACACATATACTACATGTACATGCTATACCAAGATTTTAGAAATGAAAAGTTAATTAACAGTTCAACAAAGCTTTTGTGAGTCACTTCCATACTGTTTACTGTACTTTACATTTACATGATGTATATACTCATGTACACTCATGTAGTTATAAATTCTCGTTCATTCATGTACATGTACGATCCTAAAGGACTCTCCCTGTTATGCCTTGCAACATGTTCTAACCTTTAACTTTGGAACTCGTCTCACAGTCAGATCTCTATTCTCTGTGACACTGAAACAGTGTTTGGCCAGCAACATTTGTGGTTACTTTGATCTTGTAAGAAACATGTTGCCAGATGTATAAATATTTCTGGCAACATGTTGCTTGGTTGCTAGCAACAAGTTTCCTTGTATGAAGGCTTCTATGACCACCATTTACCATTCAATAATGTTATAACTTCGTTTCTATATTTATTTCATGCAACAGAGTTGACAGCACATCAAAAAAAGTAACCACAAGTTTCTTTCAACAAACTACAATGTGCAATAACCACATGCTACCAAATTAATTTTTTTGGGGACAATGACAACTGAAAACCAATCTATCATTATGTATCTTGTTGTTATAGGCTGGTGATACTGCTCTTATTGCAGCAGCAAGAGGAGGAAACTGTGATGTTGTAGAATTACTGCTGAAGAAAGGAGCTGATCCTTCACATTCAAACAATGCAAGTTATTATTTATTTTATCATCATTGAAATTTTTATTGTTATATGTAGCTACATGTACACATGTATCTTATAATCAGAAATTTATGTTACTAGCCATTGCCTTAGTTAGAAGTGCTAAGTAGTGTAAAAATATTTATAATTTTTTTCATCACCTTGCATGCATACTGAGTTCTTATTAAGACTAATAAAGGTTCTCTTTTGCTGTTAAAGCTCCCGTGTGTAAGCTGACATTTTGTTTGCTGTGGTTATACCCACTTTATGTAAAATTTGTGGGAGGACTAGTAAAACATTTCTCCGATATAATATGTATGTGTATATAATATATGCGTCCTAGGTCATAAAAATGCAATTACCAAACCTTGTATTTAGTTTCATTAATAACGTCAGTAGAGAAATGAGGAAGTGACATAATTTTTAAAATTCTTTTCAGTAAACAATTCAATCACTATCAAGAGACTCAAGAATTAATTAGTTATTAAAGGCACATGTACCACATGTACTTTAACCCAGGAAGACCACTGCAGTGATCTAAGCCACCGACAACTATCCAATTATGGTGCAATACGAGTTTATTATGATATCATTATCTTGTTATTATAGTATGGAAATACTGCTCTTATTGTAGCAGCAGAGGAAGGACATTATGACATTGTACAGCTGCTATTAAATAATGGAGCTGATCAAAGCACTGCAAATTATGTGAGTATCATGTAATTAATGGACCATAAATCTTCTTTTATTAAATTCCCTTCTTAACTGTCAGTTTTGAATGAGAAAACTGTAACAGGTGCTATACGTGTAGTTGTAACTAAAGCTTCATGTAGGTTTGCTATGTACATGTACATGTATGCAACTTCACCCATGACATCACTTACAACATTGCACACAATATAAGACCAAAGATGGGTTGGTCTTATCATTGCTCTTATGTTGCATTAAACACAATAACATTACAGTGTATATAGTAAAAGTAGCTTAACAATCCTCTGTATTTTCTGGCTATTCAAAATGGTTGTACATGTAGTTATCATAATCATGGCAATGAATGTATTATGATAGTCTTCTACTGCATATTCTTGTCAATACACTCAATAGCCCCAAATTTTTGTCATGAAATGATGAAATATTTTTGTAATTTTGTGAAAATTTGAAATCTTTAATCTCAAATAATTGTAATAATTGCAGAATATTACTGATTAAATTAAAAAAAAATAATCATGGATATTTGATTTTTTTTGTTTTTTTCGTTAGACCATAAAAATGTAGACTGAAATATACATGTATACTATGTCCCAACTGAGTTTGGACCAAGAAAAACTGGAATAACTTTTTATAGGAATGTGGGATAAGGATGAGACTTTCACAAGTTCTTAGTCGCCCAATGCCTCTTCAGGATCTCAGATCTTGGGTCTCTCAGCCCCTGCGAACCCTGAGAACCGGGTTCTCCCTATAAACCCAATGGCATACCAAAGTTAACCGCAAACTATGTTTTATTATGTAAACAGTTACGTCACTGTTTACATAAGAACATCAATTATTATTTTGTGGTCACGCGCTGGCTGTTATTATGTTATACATGCATTATTATTATTACAAGTGAGATCTTTTGATGGTGGGGGCCTTCACAAAGGCCGGTTGAATAAAGCCAATATTTTCTGATGTTCCTTAGATGATTCGATGATCACTGCAGGTATTAACTCACAAGCCCTCTACACTTGCAAGTGGGCTGTTTCCCCACAGCTCTTCATCCTCCTCATCTGAAATATCGGTTTCGCTTTCACTGTCATTTAATTCATTCTCAGAATCATCTGATTCGGATTCTGATTCAGTTGATGAGTCACCAACTCGAATTGAAAAGTCAGGTACGGTAACTACATACGATAGTCTGTCTGCTTCGTAGTATCGATCCTCCACCTTCTCACGTACGTGCTGAACAAGACTGTGCCATCTTTCTGGAGTAACTTGTGCGATACCATCTTTAACAAGAGGCTCCAATGCTTCAAGTGTGAATTGTGTATTATGTTTTTTAGCATATCCTTTAACTTGGGACCATGCCATTTCAATAGGGTTAAGTTCACAGTGTCCTACTGGAAGCCGCACCACTTCATGACCAGCACTCTTTGCCATCTCATCTATAGCATACTGCAAATATTTACTCTTATGTTGCTTTATAATGGTGTAAAGGGCCTTCTTGTTAGATCCAGCTGGAAATGGTATGCTCTTGTTTACTAACCACGAGATCATATCACCTTTACGCCATGATGAAGTAGGCAGTGGTTCAAATCTCCTTGAATGATATGATGCGTTGTCCATTGCTATTATAGAGTTCACTGGAATATTGGGAAGTAGTTGATCTTTGAACCATCGCTTGAATTCCTGGTGATTCATATCCTTGTGGTAGTCATCTGAAGTGCCCCCAGACTGAAATACCAGTTCTGCATTTGGTACCCAGTCATTTTCCGATCCTGCATGAAGAATGATCAGTCTCTTGCCCTTTCCGTATGGCTTAGTAACTCCACCACTTGTACCACCAGTTAGTGTGTCTGGTTGTACCTGTGATAATTAAATTTAAAAGTATCAAATATTATTGTTATTGTATTGACATGTTGAATAACATACCCATTGTTTATCCTTCCCATCATGAGCATTCATCCATGTTTCATCAAGGTAGATGACTGGCCTGTTCTCTCCACTACGGTTGTTGTGCATTCTAATCAAATATTCCTTGCGTTGTTTGATGATGTGAGGCTGCTCGTAGTAGATCCTCTTGTTGACGACCTTCCTAAACCTATAGTTCATGCTCCGTAATAAGCGGTGGAGGGATGATCTTGATCCTTTAAAATTGCAATCAGCTTTTATCTCAGGAAGGAGATTGCCAAGAATAATGTACTGCTTCCTTGACTTTATAAGACAAATTTTCCTCCGGATAGCAGCTCTATCAAAGCTATCAACATTTAAAACAACTTGGCGATCTCCAGTGTATCTTGGAAGGACAAGTGTTTCGAATTCAGATCCCTCAGGCAACTCCTTTCCTTCCATCACAATTTTCATCACTGAATTTTTAGAAAATCCAGTGATTTTAACTGTTTTCTGAAGAGCAGTTCCTCCACCAGTTTTGGACTTTGCTTCTTCTCTCATTAAGTGACTAAGTACGATTTTTATAATAATTAGCTAATACAACTGATTGTTAGTTACTTATAAAGTTTCATGACAAGGTTTTTTCTCCAGAGTGAATCCTCTTCCCCCTCGGCATGATCCAGGAAAGTTAACCTAAAAAGAAACTAGGCAAAAGAGTAGAAAATAGCTGCAACAAACAAAAATAACAAAAACAAAAAAATTACTTTAAGAATGAACTCAACCTTTTTGTAGAAGCTTGAACAAGCTCAATAGATTCCCTTGGAAGACGATGATCAGCAACTATAAGGACTCAGATAAAGAAAAACAACAGAATATAGCAGAGCAAATCAACTATACCGTTTTTGGAGTGAAGCTCGCGGCACCACGCGGCTGCACATTATTGACCATGCCTTTCATGAATATCATTATCATGCACGTAAAATAACGCATTGTGACGTCTATTGCTTGCGTCACACATATTTTAAATTCCCCGCAACTGCTTCCACTTCCGGTCCATTCTCAGTTGGGATGTAGTATACTTAGTAATTATTGAAGCTATTGATCGTTCACATGTACACTGTATGTACATGCACCGTATATTCCTAAATAGAAGCCACATGCATGCAAATAAACACCAGGGTGGCAATAGAATTCAAGTATAAATACGTAAATCTAGCCTTGAAGTAAGTCAGTAGTCTTGTGGATACTGCCTGAAGTTCCTGAAGTTAAGTGCATGTGGTCATGGGTTTGAATCCTGCTTTGGGCCGAAGTTTTTTTATTAAAAAAATTTTTTTTTCGAGGTCCAAATACCATTTTAGGAAATAGACGCCTGGGCTTTTATTTAAGGAAATACAGTACTTGTATGAGGCACAGAGCTAAATGAAATTTTAACAGCTACACTGTAGTACTTACACACTTGTACGTTATTTATGGTCTCATTTCTATAGTTAGGAAAGACTGCTCTAGTTCTAGCTGCAAGTAAAAGACATCATGAGATTGTACAGTTATTAATTGAAGATTATCCAATTGCTTCAATTCATGTGAGTTGGTAATCTTGGTATATTATTAACAGCCACATACGAATGTATCTATTTTGTTTTTAGCCATTTTATTACTTTTACCATTCCCATCATAGCTATAATGTACAATAGGAATGTTTAGCTTTAGTGTCTATACTGTATTATGATTTAGATAGAGTAAAGGCTGATTCACACTGCAAAATTAACTATTTTCTATTAACTATTTTAATTAACTATTTTCTATATTTTCTATTCTTACCTTCTGTAAACGGTGGCCATTGGTTTATACAGTACTTCCTGTCTTAACATATAGCCTTACCTCACGTTAATTTTGTAGTGTGAATCGGCCTTAAGTGAATGAGATATTAAATGGCCTACTGTATATGGTGCTGGACCCAATAAGAACTTAGTAGTAATAATGATAGGAAAAATTGACTAGCTCCACTTCATGACAGTACCATACAGCTGAAAATATTGGCAGGGAAGGTGTAATATAAGCAACCACCAGAGTAAAATCTGCAATTTTCGTCCATCATGACCACATGCAGCCACTAGAATTATTGCCAATATAAAATTTGTCAATTATAAATTGTTAGCAATTTGCCAAATATAACTTGGCCATCAATATTTCTGACTGTACAGTATTTAACTTACTGTTTTTTTAACTTACTGTATGATTCATTGTAGAATAAGGAGTTATATGAAGCTGCTGAAATAGGTGATTCTACTGGTGTCCAGTCTGCACTGTCTCAAGGAGCTAATGTAAACTATCATAATCCTAAAGAGGTAACTACTGCAGTATATGCATACATTTACATGTACATTTACAGCATGCTTTTTTGTTGATATTCCTACTACCATTGGACATGGGTCCGGTACATGCATGTATATTTTGTTGTGTCATTTCACAATTCACTTGGTACAATGCCGTTGATGTACAATTCGTGTAGTACATACATAATAACACTGATCACTGTAGAAATATTAGTAAAGAGTTAATATTGGCAGATTGTTTTGTGAGAAACTGCTATTATAAAATCTATCAGTTACAATTTTATCCTGCCAATATTTTCAGTTTTGCTAAAAGTGTATGTAGTACACTACTGTGAAAGACTCATGAGACTTGATAATGTTAGTGTTAATGTAATTAGTGTACATGTATGTTATGTAATAGCATGTATTGTTGGCGTAAATAGTATGTGTGTGAATTTAATGATTTATGCTGTTTTCTTGTTAGACCTTACTTTTGTTACTTGTTCTTTGAGCTGGTCATGAGCTAGCCTTATCTTTGTCATTTGTGTAACATAATGTAGCTCTATGCTCTTTGTGACTGATTCGTATTTAAGTCATTAATTTTTGTCATTTTGGTGTGTGTTATTTGTTAAGTTAAATTGGTCTGTTACAAGTACTTTTTGTTTTGTAATAGACTGACATGAACAAATGTTTTTTTGTGTTTCTTATAGTTTGGAACTTCTTCTCTTCATGTTGCTGCAAGAGGAGGATATCATGATGTGGTACAAATTTTATTGTCTGCAGGAGCTAATGTGAACCTAATAAATAGAGTAAGTATACTGGATTGTACATAAATGTTAAAATCACATGTCATAGATTGGATATTTCCCACAGTTGGATAATTTTACCAATTTTCTTTTTATTAAGACTTTTTGAAATTTATAATTAAGTTGCAAAAATAATGAAAAACAGATTATCCAATTCTGCCCTGTGATTTTAATCTACTTTTTTATGTGCATGTATTAAGTTTGTAATATGTACTGTACATGTATGTGCATCAATGTAATTAATTCATGTAGTTTCATTAATCTTGTTCATATTTGACTGAGGACTCTTTCTTTGTGGGGGTATTTCCAGTTCCATATCATGGCAAGGCTTCCTATATGACAATGTACATGTATTTGGCAGATTATCTACTGAAATCTGTAGCAATTTTAAAAGTTTAAAAAAAATATATATAAGCTGCTTGTGTGATCTGCCACATTGGCCTTAAAATTTGCTTGAATCCGGAGAAGAAGGTGGGTAACGAGCTACTTATTGTTTGCTCTGAGCTCGTTAGCATTGACATAGCGGGTCCTTTTTTGATTCTACTATGGTTGTGGAAGATGTCTTACGTTTTTTGACCAAGTTTTGGTTGGAGATTGGGGGGATATGCAGCACTTGGGATAAATGACGGTCGATCACCTCTTCCTCTTGTTCAGCGGTTCCCTGGTTCCAGCTTCACTTGCTAAACCATATATAGTCCTAGACTGGTCCTCATTATTGACTCCATCAGAGGATCTCATAGTCTGCCAGCTCGCTGGCTATAGGGTCATTGGCTCTTATAATAGCCTCCACCCCAAATGCCATGATGGACCCAATGGCCCTCCTATAATTTTAGAGTCAGCCAGGGGTCTGATGGGGACTAGACTATTTATTATAGATCTCAGTAGTATTATAATCCTCTTCATTGAGTGATTATCAGTTCCCTGGTTCCAGCTATACTTGCTGAACCATTAAATGAGCCTATTTTAGACTGGTCCTCATTATTGAATTGATCCATCAGGTGACTTCATAGTCTATCAGCTCACTGCAAGTCTGTTCTAAAACTGGCCCTCATTATTGACTCCGTCAGAGGACTTCATAGTCTGTTGCTCAGGGCAATGGCTCTAATAGCCACCTGATGCCATGATATACCCATTGGCCCTCCTGTATATAGACTTTGTCTCGGAGTCAGCCATGGGTATGATGGGAACTAGAGACTACCTGCAGTATTATAATTTGCTCATGATGCAAGCATTCATTGTTGGGACTTATATGAGATCAGAGAGTGTTCTTCCCCTTGAAGACAGGTATAATATTATAGATTCTTATATCAAAGGACATACATGGGACTCTTGCCTAGCATTCGGTTTCTCATTTTAAGACCTTTCATTTTGATACCTCAATTGTAGCACATTATTTTAGCACACAAAGGTGTTGTTATGAACACAGGAAAGTGTGTTATTAATTGAATGTAGCATGTTAAAACTACACATTTTTTCAGTGCTAAAAAATGAGCATTGATGGTCAAAATTTTATTTTAATCTAATATATATATAGTATTATGGTCATTTGATGCTAATGTACCTTCCTTCTATATTTCCATCTTAGAAGGTACTTTATCTCAATTATAGAGGATGTCGCCTATAACAGTGACTGCTGGAGCCCTAGCCATTATGACCAGGGTGGAAAATGCTCATCCTTTGTCTACTGAATCTTATCTTTAGCCTTAATTCAGCCTGGAAGTATGTGACCTATATTTATATGACACGGGAGAACTTCGACTTATCTGTATCTGTCTATGGACTTCTTCATGACACACCCCCTCATTACCATGCAGACTCCTTTAGGTAAGTTATAGACCTGTATCAATGAAAATTTTTTGGGAGTGATAACAGTGGCCAAGAGCTAGAGGAGCAACTTGTATATGAGCTGGCCATGAATCTCAAAGGACTGCAGATTAGGTGGATTGCTTTATTATTCAAAATATTGGAGGTTGTTTAGACACACCATCTCCAACTTTACATCAGATCTCAGTAGTCTTTATTACAACAGTATTTTTGTAACTGGAAGGTCTCGCCACCATACAACATAATGAGGCCAGACCATGCTTTTATGGAGAACTGAGCAGATTTATATATGTTGCCCAGGTGGTGATATTATAGAGGGCTATGGAAAAAGCAACACTTTTCTCCTACTCTCATGCAAGGATCTATTCATGTACTGACTGAGGGATAGCAATTCTTAGCTGTTGTTGCTCCTCATAATATATGACAGGAGCACTGAGTGAAATTGCTAGGTGGATCCCTCTACTCTAGATGTGTAATAGAGCTCAGTAGTTCAAAGCAACTAGGGTTAGCTTTATATATTTATAACTAACCTATGCATTTATTATTAGTACTATACCTATTACTGAATTCCAATATATAATTTAGTGGAAATATCCACTAGACTCAATGGTATTATGATTGGTTCTTGTAGCCCTAAAACAGATTTTAAATGGGCAGTGTCTCAACATTATTGAGATAGTTTTATTGAGAACTCTATGGCAGACAGCTTTGGCTGGGTGATTGTAGTGACATTGTGCTAATTGACATTCCTTTTGTCTTAACTGTCATCTGCATTATTGACAATCTCCAATAATAGGTATGGGGTACATAGTATGTTCATGCACCATTTATTTCATTCTATAAGGTATTTATATATATCTAAAACAAAATGAAATTCATGAACTAGAATACATAGCTGTTCAAAGATAGAGCAGGGGAGTCCCAGTGGATGTCATCTTATATTGTGCTAGCTCTATGGTCAGCGTCTAGTCACTGCCTTAAGAGTTTCTGTCTTTGAACAATACATTGTCATATAGGAAGCCTTGCCATGATGTGGAATTAATAATCTTACAAGCATATGATCTATGTAATATGTGCATGATGTGAGATTGGAATTCCACAAATGGCTAAGCAAATATATGACAACTCTTCCCATGCATTAATTGCTTCTTTTCCATCCCTTTGAGGCTGCTTAATTGCTACTGGGCTATAGGGTACTTTTTGAGGACAGATACAACTCATGCATTTTGATTTTACGTTGCCAGTTGTTAATGCACCTGGACTGACAGTGCATGCACTAATGCATATAAACAATTTCAGGTTGCCTTTTCTCACAAAAACTTTAGTTTATAGTGAAAACCATGGGACAATGTCTGGAGCAACAGAACAATAAAGGGAAAGTATATAAAATCCTTGAACTGTTTCATCAGTGTGTTGTATGGAGTTTTTTGTTTTTATGGCTAGTCTTACATAATTGTTTGATAATCATGCAGACTCCAATAGCCTTCCTTATTTTGGACCAAGACACTTCAGGGGAATTTTTGAGCGTATTTGTATTCATTCCGAAGGAAGCCATCAGTTGATCATTGGATTCATTATTACTATGTGTAGTATCACATTGTTTGTTAATGGTGAAATTGCTAACTCTGATAATGTGGGCTTCTTAACTTATGCATGCTGCTACAAGAGTTAGATCTGGTGGTGCCACTCATTTCCATGAAAACTTTGATTTAGTATTGAAAGTGATGAACACTGAAGGTTGTGTTCAGTGGCAATCTTAATTTAATTGAGTAGGTGAAGCAGTATTCAATTTTAATGGTGCTGCTCTCATAATTTTTATCCCAAGTTTTAAATTAATGGATATCAACCCACTTTCTGCAGAATGCTGCTGTTTCAAAAGGAGAAGCTTCATATGCTAATGAGGCATGACATTTCTAATTTAGGCATTTCCAGAGACTTATAGCAGGCAATAAACTTAGATGGCCTTTATTAATAACACAGCTGGTTTTGAACAAAAAAGCGGCCCATCTAGCACGATTCACTTTGGTTTTTCTTCATCCCATCTTTATGATTTCAACATCCCCCTTTTTTCCTTTGGACAGGTATACAGCTGAAGAATTTCAGATTGATTGTATATACCCATATATATACCATGCAAGCCTATGTCCTGATCATAATCTGATGCTACCACTTTGGGCAAAAGATCTACACGTATGCAAGCATATTGATCTGGGACTATACAAAATAGCGTAACTTTTGCTTTATGGCTACAGATTGTTGCTTGGTCAGTATGAGGTAATGATGACAACTATGTGCCATCAAACAAGCATCAATGTATTTAGTGAATGTTGCACTGTGGAAATTTTAAGCTGGCTATGGAAATGGCCTCCTGATTTTATTGTCT